TCTTGCTCCTAAGTAGAATTCCAGCTATACTTACTCCAAGATAGATTTGTACATTCTTCTAGCAGTCCAGAGTACATTCAATATTCTTCACTAACATGACAATTCAAAATGCATCAATTCTTTTGCAGTTTCCCTTATTCATTATCCAGCTCTCACACTAGTCAGGTGCACCTTAGTTTTCAAAGTGACATCTTTTCTCTTTAACACTTTAAAGAGGTCTTTTGCAGCAGATTTTCCCAATAAAATATGTATTTTTATTTCTTGACTGCTGCTTTCCATGACTGTGGATTGTGGATCCAAGTAAAATGGAATCCTTGACAACTTCAATCTTTTCTCCATTTATCATGATGTTGCTTATTGGTCCAGTTGTGAGGACTGTAGTTTCTTTTATGTTGAGGTATAATCCACACTGAAACCTGGAGTCTCTGACCTTCATCAGTTAATGCTTCAAATCGTCTTCACTTTCAGTAGGCAAGGCTGTGTCATCTGCAAATTGCAGGTTGTTCATGAGTCTTCCTCCAATCTTGATGCCATGTTTTTCTTCCTATAGTCCAGCTTCTCAGATTATTGTTCAGTGTACAGATTGAATAAGTATGGTGAAAAGACGAAGCTGTGATGCATACATTTCCTGATTTTAAACCACACAGTATCCCCTTGTTTTATTTGAATGATAGCCTCTTTGTCTAAATACAAGTTCCTCATGTGCACAAATAAGTGTTTCTTAATTTCTGGTCTTTGCAATTTTATCGATAATTGTTATGATCCAAATGGTCAAATGCCTTTGCATAGTGAATAAAACACAGGTGAACATCTTTCTTGTATTCTTTGCTTTCAGCTAAGATACATCTGACATCAGCAATGATATGCCTTGTTCCACACCCTCTTCTAAATCTGGCTTGAATTTATGGCAGTTCTCTGTGGATGTACTGCTATAAACATTTTTAAATTATTTTCAGCAAAACTTTACTTACATGTGATATTAATGATATTGTTTGATACTGAAGCTTTCACTCTGGTACTAAAAATGGATGTCGACTAAAATCCATTAAGGTAATAATGTATAATGTAATAAGGCAAGAAAAAAAAAATAACAGGCATAATGATTGGAAAAAAGAAAGAAAACTATCATTATTCTTCATGATATGATCTAGAATATCCAAAAGACTTAAAAGATTACTTATTAGAATTACCATGAATTTTAATAAAGTAGATGAAGACAGGATCAGTATACAGAAATCAATTATGTTTCCTATACTAATTTAACATATTATCAGAAAGCATCAAATAAGTAGAAAATAAATCTTACCCAAAATATATAAAACTGAAATGAAGAAAACTTTATAGCATATGGATAGAAATTTTAAATTGCCTAAATAAATGGTATGATAGTCTATGTTCATGGATTGAAAAACATAATATTCTAAAAATATCCATTCTTTCAAATTGATTTTTAAGATTTACTGCAATTCCAGAAAAAATTCTAACATTTATTATAGAAATTGACAGGACGATTCTATAGAAATGAGAAGGATCAACAGTAGCATATTTAGTACTGAAGAGGAAGAATAAAATTGGTTCTTTTATAAGACTAGACATCAAAACTTATTATAAAGTAATAGTAATTAAAATAGTCATGCAAAGGCAGAAGATCAATGGAAAAGATTAGAGAACAGTTACCTAAATTTCACCAAAGCTTTCATGGAAATCAAGTTTGAGAAGAATAGACTTTACAATAAAAGTTCCTGAGTCATTAGGAAAAGAAACTTGAGTCTTTCCTCACCAGAGGAAAAATTAATTCCAGATATATCATAGATTCAAACATTAAAAGTTAAGAAAATAAAGTCTCTAGAATATCTTAATGATCTTGGACACTATCTTAATGATCTTGAAATAGGCAAAGATTTCTTACGTAAGTCACAACATTTAAGGACTTCTGTTTTTAGTGTAAAATTTAAAAGCATCAAAATAAATCCTAAAGAAAGTGAAAAGGTAAGACATCCTTGGCAAAGGATGACAGAGTAGTACCTAGAACAATATAAAATGCTTCTACAAATCAAGAGGAAAAAGGACAACCCAATTAAAAATGCCAAAAACACTTAAACAATTATGTATGTCATTTAGTGAATATCTAAATAGCAAATCAGCATATGAAAAGATGGTCAACATCATTAGACATGATGGAAATGCAAATTAAAATATTAAGATACCACCATAAACCTACTGGAATGAAGGAGATGGGGGAAAATCTGAAGATACAAAGTGTTGGTGAGGATAGAGCAAAAGTGAATCTCCCGAATTCTGCTGAATGGACAAAACATTGATAACTCTGGGTAAACATTTCAAAAAAATTGGATTTTCTATTTGAAAACTTTTGAGAATTTATTTCCTTTATATATTTTAATGTATAAAACAGCAATGACAGAATTTCATGACTAAATATGAATATGTATAAAATACTATTTGAATAAAAATTCAAAGTAATTAACTTATGGAGTTATTCAATCATCCATATAATGGCTGAGGAAAAGAGAACAGTCTGAGCAAACTAAGGATGTATGTACAGTAAAAAGGAGTTCTGGTGGCATTTGGCTGTTAATCAAAAGGTCATTGGTTCAAACCCATGAGCTGCTCTGTGGGAGGAAGATGAGGCAATCTACTTCTGTAAAGATTTACAGCCTTGGAACCCAATACCGGTTATTACGAATTGGAATCAAGTCAATCGTGGTGGGTTTTAGTTTGGTTCCTTATGTACAGTAAAAGGGTACTCACTTTGGTTTGAGTGTATGGAAGCCATAGGGGTAACTGGTAGATGATGTTGTTTGTTGTTGTTATTTGCTGTCGAGTTGGCCCCAACTCATAGCGACCCCTCCTTGGGTTTCCGAGGCAGTATCACTACGGAAGTAGGATTGCTCAACCTTCCTTCCCAGGAGTGGCTGGTGGGTTTGAACCGCCAGCCTTCTGGTTAGCAATCAAGTGCCTTAGGCACTATACTACCAGAGCTCCTAACTGGTAGATAAAACTATATAAATAGTTTTTATCTTATTGTGGAATACTTTAATACCAATCTAAAGAGTTTGTTCTAGTTTTTGTAGGCAATAAAGAATCATTAAATGTTGCTGAGCAGAACACTGATTAGATTAGAGTTACAGTTAATCAGAGTTATACGTCATACAAAATAAGTGATAAACAGTGTGCACAAGGGATTGGAATAATGAGAAAAAATATACAAGCACATTAGTTAGAATTCTTTTACAGCTGAAAGAAAAATGGTTGCAGAAGTCAGAATTGGGTTCCAAACCAAATGAAACCTATTGCCATCATTAATTCTGACTCATAGCAACCCTATAAGGCAAAGTAGAACTGCTCCATTGGGTTTCCAAGGCTGTGGCATAGTAGTCAACACATTTTGGGTGCAAACCACAAGGTTGGGCAGTTCAAACCCACCAGCTGCTTTGCGGGAGGAAGATGAGGCAATATACTTTGATAAAAATTTACAGCCTTAGAAACCCAATGGGGGTTGCTATGAGTTGGAATTGCCTTATCTTGCTCCTGTGGAGTGGCTGGTAGATTAGAACCATCAACCTGTTGGTTAACAGACATAAGTTTTAACCACTGCAACACCAGAGCTCCTTACAATTGGATTAGGAGCCATAAAAATGGAAGGAAGGAGACAGATTTCAAATTTGTGATAAGATCAATAGACATTGTTAACTGACTGTACTTGTATGGTAAGGAAAGAGAAAACAGTAGCAAAGAAATAAAATTAGAGTAATTGAAAATACAGTAAAATGTGAAATAAAAGAAAGGGAAAATATTGCTTTAATATGTGATATGTTATATATCAAGTGTTTCTGTGATATTGAAATGAAGATGCTTAGTGAAGATTTGGAAATAAGGTATTAAACTATGGAAAGATGTTGGTTCACTGATGAGATATAAATATCCCATGAGTAATTTCTATTCAATTACCAACTCCATTCAAAGATTATGTATCTCATTTCACATATGCCATGAGCATGTTAACTTTGTAATTAGGCAAAGGAGTAACTCTATAGTCAAATTTCATGATTTTCATGGCTTCTTGCTATTGTGGATATTAAAAAAAAATATTGTCTATTTTATTTTAGCCAGTACAACTGATGGTGTAGTGGTTAAAGCATTTGGTTACTAACACCTTCCTGTCATGATGCCCTGAGAAGGATACATCATCACCTCTTTTGTATTCTACTTCAAAATGCATAATCTGAGCTTAATCAGGAGGAAATACTGACAAACACACAATAAGGGATATCCACAAAACAAATGGTCAGTACTCTTTAAAGGTATCCAGTCTGAAACACAAAGAAAACCTGAGGAACTGTTCCGGGTTACAGGATGCTAAGGAAAAATGACAAATGCAACATGTGATACTAGATTGAATCTCAGACTAAAAATCAGACATTATTGGGATAATTGGCAAAATTTGTGGAAGGTTGATTAGATCATAGTATTGTATCAATGTTAACTTTCCTAATTTTGGTAATGGGATTGTGGTTATGTGATTGCCGTCTATGGAATCTGGGCAAAGAGTACACAGGAACTCTTGTAAATATTCTATGCTCATCTTTATACACTGTACTGGAGCCCTGATGGTACAGTGGTTAAGTGCTCGGCTGCTAACCAAAAAGTCCACAGTTTAAACCTACCATCCGCTTCATGGGAGAAAGACGTGGCAGTCTGCTTCCATAAAGATTATAGCCTTGGAAGCCCTACAGGACAGTTCTACTCTATCCTGTAGGGTCGCTATGAGTCGGAATCAGCTCAGCAAAGGGTTTATATACTATGCATGCTTATACAGCAAATCAAAGTGTTAAAAAAAATTAGTAGCATACTTTTTAAATGTTATTTGAAAAAAATCTGTAACATAGTATTAGCAGGATAAGGAGTTTAGAAACTGGGTTAGTTCCAAAACATTACACTAACAATATTTTGAGGCCAATACTTATTTATTTCGTACTTACTTCATCAAACATAAAATCTTTTAAATCTATCTCTTCATATTCTTCATTTTCTTCATACTTAATAGCTTCTAGAGCTGTTGTCAGTTTTTTTCGCAAAAGAAAGCCCTTCCAAACTGCCTAAACAAAAATTTAAAGCATGTTATACAAGGTTATAGATCAAACCCTAAACCAGATCCTCTGTGTTATCCCATTAGGAAGATAAAACATCTCAGACCTTAGTTTAATGACTCAATAATCTGTTATTTGAACTTTATGTGACACTTAAAACTGCAAGATAAATTAAATGCCTGCATGTGTCTAAGGTTCTGAATCTCAAGAGACTTTCCTCTTGGCAGAAAAGAATCCTTAAAACTCCCTCAACTGTACAAGTAGGTCAACCAATTAATTATCTGACAATTCCTCGAGGACCCATTCTAAACTAAGAAGAAAGAGATAAAAAGAAAAGCCAAGTTCTCTAATTTTTAAACGATTATGTGCAAAATAAACTAAGCCACATTTAGGAAAACCTCAATGTATAAAAATAGCAATATTAGTGGTTATCTTGGCCATACTAATTAACTAATTTTATTTTAAAATAAACAAAGGACAGAACAATAGAATTAAAAACACTCAGATTCCTCAACAATCTTGGAGTAGGGAAACGCAGTCCCCTGGAGTCGGATCCGATTCATAGCAACCCCTCCTTGGGTTTACCAGGCAGTATCACTACAGAAGTAGATCGCTCAATTGTCCTTCCCAGGAGTGGCTGGTGGGTTTGAACCACCAGCCTTCTGGTTAGCAGTCAAATGCCTTAGGCACTACTCCACCAGAGAAGTTTCCTAATTAAAGCTAAGTGCAATGTAGCTTTAAGCAATTGAGTATATATTGCTGAAGTGTGATCTCTAGAATATATTTTTAACTATACAAAGCAAGGTTGAAATAAATGTATATTTCATAGTACCTAAGACATTTGCTAACCAGAAGGCTGGCAGTTCAAATCCACCAGCCACTCCTCAGAAGGAAGGCTGGGCAATCTACTTCCATAGTGACACCGTTTCGGAAACTCACGGAGGGGTCGCTATGAGTCCGGATCTACTTGATGGAAGTAAGTTTTTTTTTTTAAATTTATCTATTGAAGATGGCATATAAATATAATATAAACATACATATATATTGTAAACTTACATATATATATTTATATATATATTTAAACATATATATATGTATGTTTGCTTATTTTTTTTAAATGAAAGTATATACTTTAAAGGTAATATTAAATTGTTACCTATAGAAGCAGAATACAGGGTAGATGTGTAGCCAAAGAAGACACTCTTATCTGAATGTACCTTTGATATATGATTTGGTTTAATTTTAGAACCATGAACTGCTTAATTATAAAATGAAGTAAAACAAATATAAAATAAAATTTAAAAAATCCTAAAAGCAGTGAAAATATTTTAAGTTGTAGGCATAACCACACAGCCCCTCAGAGACAAGAGCAAAAGGTTTGATTCATTGTAGCTCATAATGGATTAAACCCAACTCGTCAGCTGTAGACTACAATGTTCTAGACTATATAACACATAGGGTGTGTTTTTCTGGTGCAAAAAGTGTTGATACCTCCCTTCATGAATCTGCATAGGATCTGGCATTCAAGTTCTAGTCATCTCTATCCAGTTCAGATATAAGGATGATATGATGATACAATGTGTTGATAATTAATGTCCAGGTTCTAATTTAGGTATATGTGAAGGTCACAATTTTTCTCCCAGTAGTCCACCTATAATTCATTGATCTTTCTTTCCCACACACTGAAATCAATTCACTAGACAGACAATTCTATCTCCATTAGCATATCTGATATTTTTTTCTTCTCCAACTACTATCAACTCCACCCTTAGAAAGAGCTCTGGTGGTGTAGCAGTTAAAGCATTTGGTTGTCAACCGAAAGACTGGCAGTTCTGAACCCACGAGCTGCTCCATGGGAGAAAGATGAGGCAGTTTGCTTCCGTACAGATTAACAGTCTCGGAAACCCCACAGGGCAGTTTTACTCTGTTCTATAGGGTCGCTTTGAATTGGAATTGACTAGATACTAGTGGGTTTGGTTTTTGGTTTTCCTACCTCTAGAATTCACCATACACTTGTTATTTGTTAGAATTCCTGAAACTGACATAACTCTGACCATGTTCCTCCTATATTCTCTCAGTATTCTAGTACTAATAGTATTCTGGATGCAATATATTATCTTATAATTTCAGGAACATGGAAGTCTATGTTCTTTTAGTTCCATTATCTCTTATACCTAGCACATTATTCTCTCAGACATTTATATTGAGTCCTACTTATTTCTCAAGGGGTATCTCACATCTTTTATATTAATTAGGATAAGCTAACTAATGTAACAAATATATCCAAAAGAGCATAATTACTCAAAAACAATAGAAGTCTATGTCTTGATCATATTGCAAACACTGGAAGGGTATACTGGCCAGTGGAACAGTACTTCAACATGCAGTTTTTCAGCTACCCAGGCCTATCAGGCTCCACAATTTCAATTGATAGTATCCAAGGTTGCCCCAGAACCTGTCTGCATTCTAGCCAGCTGAAAAGGGAAAAGAATATTAAGTGTTGTGGGTGATTTTTATGGGTCAGACCTGGAAATGGCACTTAAACTTGACTAAAAACTAAAAGAAAACCCAAACTCACTGCCATTGAGTTGATTCAACTCATAGTGACCTCTCTGTGGGTTTCTGTGGTCTATCTCTTTGGAAGTAGATTGCCCAATCTTCCTTCTGAGGATTGGCTGGTGAGTTTGAACCACAGCCTTCTGGTTAGCAGTCAAATGCCTTAGGCACTATGCCACCAGAGCTCCTAACATCCCATGAGACAATAGAAACAATCCTCAATATAAATAAACATATTTTTCTGGAATGTGATATTCTTCCATCTTCACTGCTACCATCCTGGTCCATGTCACCATCATCTCTTATCTGGATTACTGAAGGAGACTCCTAATTGATCTTTACTTCTACTTTTGCCCCATTACAGTCTAAGATAAGGTAAAGTATTGTAATGAAATGTGCAAACACCTGCAATTAGAAAATCAAAAGGGAAGAACACCCTTGGCATTTTTCAAGCTGAAATACTAAAGAAAAAATTCAAGCCTTGAGTTGCAATATTGAAGGATTCTATGGGCAAAATACTGGATAATGCAGAAAGCATCAAAAGAAGATAGAATGAATACACAGAGTTACTGTACCAAACCATTTCAGGAGGTAGTATATGATCAAGAACTGATGGTAATGAAGGACAAAGTCCAAGCTGCACGGAAGGAGTTGGTGAAAAACAAGGCTCTAGAAATGGACAGAATACCCACTGTTAAAGCACTGGAGGTGCTCACTCATTTATGCCAAGAAATTTGGAAGGCTAGCACCTAAACAACTTACTAGAAGAAACTGACACTTGGGTCCATTCCAAAGAAAGGTGATACAGCAGAATGTGGACATTATTGAGTAGTATCATAAATACGCATGCATGTAAAATTTTGTTGAAGGTAATTAAAAAATGGTTGGAGCAGCACATTGACAGGGAACTGTAGCAGTATACTGGAATTCAAGCCAGATTCAGAAGAGGATATGGAATGAACCTGGATATCATTACTGATGTCAGGTGGACCTTGGCTGAAAGCAAAGAATGCCAGAAAAATGTATACCTGTGTTTTATTCACTATGAAAAGGTGGATCATAAAAAATTATGGATAGCAATGTGAAGAATGAGAATTCCAGACCATTTCAGTGTGCTCATGAGGAACCTGTACACAGAAAATAAGCAGTCCTTCAAACAGAACAAGAGAATACTGTATGTTTTAAAATCAGGAAAGGTGTGCATCAGCTTTCTATCTTTTCACCATACTTATTCAATTTGTATAAAAAAAAACTCAAAGACTCCTGACTCATAGCGACCCCTCCTTGTCCGAGAAGCTGGACTATATGAAGAGAAATGCAGCATCATGGTGGGAGGAAGACTCATTGAGAATCTGAGATATGCAGATAACTCAACCTTGCTTGCTGAAAATGAAAATGACTTGAAGCCCTTACTGATGAAGATCAGAGACTACAGCCTTCAGTATGGATTGTACTTCAATATAAAGAAAACAAAAATCCCCACAACTGGACCAATAAGCCAGATCATTATAATTAGAGAAAAGACTGAAGTTGTCAAGTATTTCATTTTACCTGGATCCATAATCAACATGGAACCATAATCCATGGAAGCAGCAGTCAAGGTATCAAATGACATATTGCATTGGACATGTACGTTGCAAAAGACCTATTTAAAATGTTAAAGAGCAAAGATGTCACTTTGAAGACTAAGTTGTGCCTGACCAAAGCCATGGCCTTTTCAGGAGCCTCATATGCACATGAGAGCTGCACAATGTATAAGGAAAACCACAGAAGAACTGATGCATTTGAATTGTGGTGTTGGTGGAGATTCTTGAATGACCCTGAAGTGCTAGAAGAACAAACAAATCTATCTTGGGGAAAGCACAGTCAGAATGCTCCTTGGAAGAGAGAATGGCCAGACTTTGTCTCCCATACTTTGGTCATGTTGTCAGAACAGTTCCTGGACAAAGATATTGTGCTTGCAAAAAAGGAGAGGGTCAGTGAAAAGGGGGAAGACCCTCAAAGAGGTGGATTGACACATTGGCTGCAATGACAGGCTGAAGCATGGCAAGGATTGTAATGATGGTGCAGGACCAGACAGTGTTTCATTCTGCTGAACACAGGGTTGATATGAATTGGAATTAGTTCCCTAATGCTGCTTTAACAGAAATACCATAAGTGAATGGCTTTAAAAATCAGAAATCTATTTTCTCACAGTTCAGGAGGCTAGAATCCAAATTAAGGGCATCAGCAGCTCAAAGGGAAGATCTTTCTGGCAATCATTGGCCACCAGAGAGATGCAAATCAAAACAACAATGAGATATCTTCTCACCCCAGCACTGATGGCAAGGTTCAACGAGACAGGAAATTACAAAAGCTGGCATGGAGGTGGAGGGATTGGGACTCTCATACACTGCTGGTGGGACTGTGCAGCGATACAAACACTGTGGAAAGCAATATGGCGATTCCTTAGAAAGCTGGAATTGGAGATACCATTTGACCCAGCAATCCCATTACTAGATATATATCCTAGAGAGGTGAGAGACAGGACAGGAACAGATGTATGTGCACTGATGTTCACTGAAGCACTGTTTACAATAGCTAAAAGATGGAAACAACCTATGTGCCCATCAACAGAAGACTGGATGACCAAACTATGGTACATGCACACAATGGAATGCTATGCAGCACTAAAGAATAATGTAGAGTCTGCACAACACTGTATGATATGGATGAACTTGGAAGACATTATGCTAAGTGAAATAAGTCAATTACATAAGGACAAATACAGTATTAGTTCATTGTTGTGGACAGTCAAGAAAAGGTTTACATATGGAGGGAAACTTTCTTTGTTGGTTGCCAGGGGTGGGAGGGGAGGGGAGGGAACACTGCAAAAAAAAAAAAAAAAAAGAAAGAAAATGTATTGACCCATGTCACTTTAGTTTTGTGTATTTCACTGTACATAAATTATATTTCAATAAAATGCATTAAAAAAAGAGTATTGAGAATGTATGATTAATGGTGGCTGTTTTCACTGTTCAAAACCATCTGCTTCTGACCCTTTGACATGTGACTTTTCAGTGCCTTCTAAAGGTACAGTATATTTCCCAACCATTACTAATCTAGGCCAAGTGAGCCTTGCTTTGGCTAATCAAATTTATCAGATGTTGACATAGGACACATATGAGCAGAACTTTAAATATGATTTGTGGTTCCACTTGGCCCTTAACCATGAGAACAGTATGATCCAATTTAGGGGTTGCTCCTTCAGCCTAGATACTAAGCAGAGACAAAGTCAACCTGCAGCCAGTCTGTAATTTACATGTCATCTGAGTCATAAAGGGACCCTGGTGGTGCAGTGAATAAGTGTTCAGCAGCTAAGCAAAAGGTCTGTGGTTCAAACCCACCAGCTGGTCTGGTGGAGAAAGATGTAGCAGTCTACTTCCTCAAAGATTTCCAACCGTGAAAAGCCTACAGGACAATTCTACTCTCTCCTATAGGGTTGCTATGTGTCAGAATCATCTCAACAGCAGCAGGTTTTTATGAGCCAGAAATAAATCCTTGTATTTGTATGCCACTGTTTTGGGGGTTGTTTGTTATTTAGAATAATCCAGTGAAAGATAACTAATGCACTAACTATTCTACCAAAGACTGAGATCAACCTGAATAAGAACAGCAGCCTTCTCCCTCTCTTCTGGGGTATGTACTGTATATTCTGTTTTTTCCTCCTTTAAAATAGTCTGGTTCTTGATGCAGGAATTTGTCTGGGATGTCAGCGGTCCTGTTGCTGTAGTATGTCGCCTTGTAGAAAAATGAATCTGTTTGCGTGCAATGTAACCACGCCAGCATGCCTGGATTATCATAGTTGCCATACTATTAAGAGAAAAAAAGAAACATTTTCAATATCCATAAATATGCAGTTATATTTAAGAACATGAACCGCATAAAGTAAACTTTAAAATAAGATGAATTCTTTCATTTAATTATAGTCATAAAAGTACAGATAGCACGGAAACACCCTCCTATCTGAAAGTGAGGAATGAGCCGGTAGCTGGAAAGGGATATAGGTACAATGGAGTTTTGTTTGTTTGAAGGGGGAGATATCACAGTGTATTTGTATGAAATTGAGGATTCTAATTCAGTAGACTGAATGGGGTGGGGATTATGATGCAGAAGAGAGGAGACAAATGCAGAAGCCAACTCTGAGTCAGCAAGAGAGAAAGGGATATTCTGTATGGTGGGTGAAGAGATTAATCCTGGAGAGAAAGGAAGGAGGTACCTTCATTGTAAGAGGAAGGACCTTTGTCCTTCTAGCTTCATTTTCCTCTCTATCCTTAGACAAATATTTAAATCACTCTCTAACTAACATTGGGAGCTCTGGTAGCATAGTGCCTAAGGCACTTGACTGCTAACCAGAAGGCTGGCGGTTCAAACCCACCAGCCACTCCTCGGAAGGAAGGTTGGGCAATCCTACTTCTGTAGTGATACTGCCTCGGAAACCCAAGGAGGGGTCGCTATGAGTCGGGGCCGACTCGACGGCAAATAACAACAACAACAACTAACTAACATTAGAAGGCTGCTGAATTCTAACATTTTCCCAGGCCACACCTGTTTGACCATCTCAGGCACTATTATCTACCAATGCAGTCCCTGAGTGGCACAAACGGTTCAGTGCTGGAATACCAACAGAAAGGTTGGCAATTCGAACCCACCCAGGGGCTCCTGAGAAGTAAGACCTAGCAATGTGCTTCCTAAAGGTCACAGCTTTGAAAATCCTATGGAACAGTTCTACTCTGCACACAAGGAGTCACCATGAGTTCGCATCAACAGCAACTAACATCATTCATCAATGCAGTGTGTTTTCTTTCCCACATCCCTCTAGGCTGCCCAGCAACATTAGCAAAGTTTGAATAACAATGCACACCATGAGTGCTTTTCATCATTTGGTTCTTCCTAACTTTTAATATATTTTGCTTTTTCACATAGATTACTGAAGAAGTAAAATCAGTATAGGAGCCCTATCTACTTCCTACCTCCAAAATTTCCCAAGGGGAAAAAAAAAAAAACCAATACAAAAGGTAGATGAGAAATGTTTTCCTGGATGATCCAAACACAGGCTGCTTTTCATTATGGAGGAAAGCAGGCAAAGAAGCTAAATTTAGGGCTTTCTGAATATGGGGTGCTCTTCATACTGACAAGGAGCTTTGGTGGTGCATTGTCTAAGGCATTTGACTAATCATAAGGTTGGCAGTTCAAATCCACCAGCTGCTCCCCAGAAGGAAGACAGGGCATTCAACTTTCATAAAGATTTACTGCCTTGGAAACCCAATGAGGATTGTTTTAAGTCAGAATCGACTAGATGGCAGTGAGTTTGGTTTTGGTTTGGTTTCATACTGACAAAAACAGCATTATCTTTTTTTAATTTTTTTTAGCCAAAATTCTAAAAGTGAAATGTCCTAAGCATAAGAGGACAGGTAAACCATGCTTAGGAAATGCCTATAAAACAGAAAGTTAATCTTCCTGAGTCACTGAATGGCAAGGGTCAACAAATGGGTATGAATTTTATTTGCCTTTATTTTTTCGGTCTTTGGTTTACCCACATGTTCAGTTATTCGTCTTTATTTATTATCAACATTTAGATATTTTGTTTATTACGGATTAAGAAGTTCTAAATCCTGTTTCTATGAAATTTGGATAGCCAGTGTCTGGAGTGATTGTAGCAAAGACAATAAATGAAATAAACTGATAACATATAAAACAGCAAATGTGCTAAAGGGGCAAGGAAGCAGCATTGTGTGACCTCCTCTAATAATAATGAGGCCAGACATGCCGCCACCCTCTAGCCCTTTTACTATCCTTGACACCAACCATTCCTCCTATGGCACCCATCACCTCTCTGCTGGGTTCGATGATTTGCTGCAGTGGCCACACAGAACTCACAGATTTTGGGGTTTATTAGGGAAGCAACAGGCTACAACGCAAGTTCAGGGATACACTCAGTCTCTTGCAGCCAGCTGTCTCAATTAGCAGCCAGCAGTCTCTCTCAGTAGCACGACTCTCTGCCAGCAGTGTGTGTCTCTCACGTCTCTCTCAGCAGTGTATGTCTCTTACATCTCTCTCTCCCAGCCAGAGCATCTCCCTCAGCAGCATGTCTCTCAGCCTGCAGTGAGAGATCCCTTTTACCTCTAGGAGGGCTCTTTTTTAGCCTGGCAGAGTGGCAAAACCAACCAGCCCCAACACCAGAATTCCACACACCTGAGAGAGAGTGAACTTGCCAGAAAATTGCTTTGTCCTGCTCGGGACAGAAATACCCTAAGTGGATAACTTTAAACAATCAGGAGCCACTTAGTGGCTCACAGCAAATTCTACCATGGAGTTTACAAAGGCTATGGCTAATAAAGCCATACTACGTAATTTACTACACTGCAAAATGTTAAAACCATTTTGATAAAATGTTAAAAGATTTCCCGTTATAAAATACATGTTAGTGTCAGTATATCATACTATTCAACACAGCTCTCAGGGAAAAGAAATTAGTTTACCAGTGACATCATCTGCAAGAAAGAAGACTGAAAGAGCAAGATTAGCCACTGTGAGGTTCTCAGCCTTGACTGTTCCACAAAATCTGTAATACCACAACTGAATCTAACCTTTTTGTTTCTTTTCTTTTCTTTTTTTTAGCTTGAACAAAAGTAAAAAAAAAAAAAAATTGACAGGGCAAAGTAAACATCAGTCTCTACTTGTTCCATAAACAAAGATAGTCATTAGCTTTCTATACATGTTTAATAGTTGGAAGCGAGTTTAGTTTATTCAGCTATCTTTCAGAGTTGTTACATCAAAGATTATAGTATATGCATCCATAAACTTATGCGGATGATTATTAAATATTTACTCATCAATAATTAAATAAATAGCACATGCAAATGTATACTTTAATTATACATTATACTTTAATGATTATTCAGAAAGTTTTTTATTATTAGAATAAACTAGTATTTTATTTCTTTTTAACAATTTGTTTTAATCATTTAGACATTAAAAGTCAGAAATGAATAATTTCATATTTCCTCATCGGGAGCTCTGGTGGTGTAGTGCCTAAGGCATTTGACTGCTAACCAGAAGGCTTGTGGTTCAAACCCACCAGCCATGCCTTGGAAGGAAGATTGGGCAATCTACTTGAGTAGACATACTGCCTTAGAAACCCAAGGAGAGGTCGCTATGAGTCAGTTCTGACTCCATGGCAATGAACTTAGTGGGTTTTTTTTTTTTTTTTTTTTTAATAAATCAGAACTTGTCAATATTCAACTAACTTAATCTGTACTATCATTAATAATTTATGTGCACTATCAAAACTATAATTAAGGGAATATGA